TTACTTGTTTGTTTAAGCATGAGATTGAGGTGTCATGCTTAATGGTTTAATCCCTTTGGGAGTTCATTACCAACGGTATGATGTCTCTTTCATGCCTAAAACAATATTTGATTTGAGCCCTCTTTCCATTAGAGGACTTCAAATTCACTTGTGGACTTAATTGATTAAAGAATTGAGAGGTAACTAAAATGGGGTAATAAAATTGGTGTATAAAAAGGAGCAACATAATAATTTGGTTTGGTTCAATCGCATGTTAATTGAACCCTTGAGTCTTAAGGCGTTTCATACTCATTAGTGATGAAAACGGTTCAAGATTCATTGTCAACTACTTCTCTTGATCATTCATGATAGGGAGGTAGTTTTGAGAATCTTATTTTGTTGCATTTATTGAACTTGCACACTTTGGTTCATAGGCCATCATGCAATGAAATTGCATCCATTAATGGTTTGTGAATCAAGTTTTACTACTTGAGGACTACAAGTCTTGATTAAGAATTTTAAAAGAGTATGCAAAAACCTAAGGAAATGACCTCAAAGGAGGCTATTTGTCAGAGCTAGAAGTTAAAGTATGGGCCGAATCAGTCATAAAAAATAAAGCCAAAAAGCTACAATTGCAAGTGGTCATTAAGACCACCGCGCCCGCAAACAAAACCATCGCACCCGCGATGTGCATAATTTGCGCCCGTGACCAAGCCACAACCGAAACATGCTTTCAGTAGCCTCTTAGCATTTTAACTCTACGCACACAAAGTTAAAGCCTACTCGTGCATGACTCAGTCACGCCCGCTACTATTAGGACCGCGCCTGCGATGGTGCCCTATTGTAGACACCCTATTTTTGACCGCCCTTACGACTTGGACGTCATCGCTTGCACACCTAATGATGAGTGTATATGCTTGATAGGTGCTTAAAGTCCTCAGTGGAATACTATAGCTTTGAGCCTTTCAAACCCTACACCCTTGTTGCCTTGTTTTTGGACCAAAACCTTGGATTTTCAAGCCTAGAACCTTTTGTGGCCTACCGACCATTGCTATGGGCTGTCGGCCACTGCTTCTGGTTGAAGGCCACCATTAGTAGCCTGCCTGCCGGCCACTAATGTGTTTTGTAGAAATTTTTCTGCCAGCTATGCCAGTTGTAGGCTCATATGCATACACCTTCCGACACGTGTATGCATAGATATTTCTGAGGGAGTTGCATTGTTTTCTATATATAAGAGGCCTCCCCTTCCATTTTTAAGGTTGGAATTTTTAGAGAAAAATTCTCTCTGTCTCTCTCTCTCTCTCTTGAAATTTCTTAGCTTTTTGCAAGCTTTTGCCTATTCACTCGTAACCAAACCTCTCCATCTTTGAGTTGAGGTACTTTTGAGCCTGGTTTGAGCTATTGAGGGTGTGTTTGTCTTGATTTGTTGCCTAGAATTGGTTCTCATCTTCAAGAGGTATAAGGCTTAGCCTTTTTACTTGCTTTAATTACTCTTTTTCTTGCTGTTTTCCAACTGTTTTTGAGCTGTATAAACTCTGTATTTTTGGGCTGAAACTTGGGTTTTAAGACCATTAAAGGTTGAGGGGTGGTTCACCCTTCTTTAGATCTTGCTCTCAAGGCCTTTAC